AAAAGGCCAAAGTTGGCCCTCCTGAAGTCAATTGTTGCAATTGACTTGCAATTGGGTTGCAATTCTGCTTGCAATTCTGTTCCTCCCACATGAGATCCTGAACTTCACCATCTCATGTTCTCCTTTTGGTTACAGTGGTAGAAAAGCTTTAATTTTGAGCAAAATTCATGTCAAATTGTATGGTATTTACTATACAGTTGTATTATCAATGAATATGCACGTGTCTGTAGTGGGAATCTTTTTACTGAATGTTGTTCAGTTTACTCCAGGAGTTTAAATAATCTTGCATCAGAAAGCTGTTCTTTCTGTGTTTGTATTGACAGTATTATTTATGTGTTCTGTGAGTAAATACTTGTAAATTCATAGCAAGACTGTGAAAAATTAACTGTCCACAGTGATTCACTGCATAGTGTTAACTTGCAACCACTACAGTCCTCTGATTTCTTTTCTGAAGAAAGAAGTTCCATGTAAAACTGTTGTTTGTGCTCTGTCTGAAGACTGGTACTAACGAGTGCGCAGTCTTGTAGAGCCTGTAGTCTGTAACTGTGGCCCATCCTCTTATGTTCATCTCACACTTGTTGGTTAGTTGAGAGGCATGTTTTTGCTTGAATTCTTTTTTCTCTGGAGAATTCATGGGGACATCTCCATTTTTGGGAAAAGAGCATTTGTTGTAGATATGTTGGTAGAAAACCAAGTTTAGAATTTCATGCATCTGTTTCCCATAATGGAAACGTGCACATACATTGAAGAAATAATGGTAGACTTCAGAGTAAAGTAGTTGCTGATGTGATAGAAGCAAATCCTATATACACAAAATGTTGGTTATGTGCCAAACAAGGTTTTGCTCCACTCAGTTTTAAAACTTACGATGCTAGACCTTGGTTCAGTTACATTCAAAGTTGAACTTCTCAGTGACATAGTAAAAGCATAGAAAAGGGAAGCTAATACTCTCTTCATATTCCACCTTGTAGAGACTGTGTCACAGGACAGGAGGCCTCCTAAGCTTGCCTATACCTCAAGAGGCGGTGGTGACAAAAGCTTGTTCAATCATAGTAAGCCAAAGGCTACAGGTACGTATGGGAAGTGATTTTCTCTACCTATGTAAGATTATAAATCTCTGTTGCTTGGGAAGAAGTGTTGCCTTGCATTTTCTACCACTTCACTTATTATTTCAGTTACATACCAAGTTAAATTTCTCTGTAGTATTAGTATGAATTTATTTAATCATAGTAAAGATGGTAGACAGCTTAAGACTGCTCAAAATACCTTCATGGTCATGAAAAACAGTTTGAGGTTTAGTAAACATTCAAGAGCATATTACCTCGTTGTTTAGTATAACCTGTTCATGGCTGCATTCTGTTTTTCTGAAAGTGTGTGGGGGGTGTGTGTGTTGTTGTTTTTTTAAAAATTTTTTTAATAAATATGGTTTGCTGTTGTCTTGCTTCTGCAGGACTAGAAACTTCCACAATTTTATCCCAGGAGCAGATCTACTTAATAGTGAATGTGTTAATTTTGCTGTGATTCAAAACCAAAATTGAATTCCTGAAATATAAGCTTCTTCTGACTCTGGTTTTGGCCAGCTCTGAAAATCCTCACAGGGAAAAAACCTGGAAGGGAAATAATTTTTTTTTTTTTTTTCTTTAAAGGCACAATTAAAAATTCATTGTCTTTTGTGTTTACTAGTGGCTATTTTGGGTTGTAGAATACTACCGACAGTATATTCTGTAAGCTTTCATTCTGCTTGGCATGGGATGCTGGCAGAGATGGTGTTCACTGAAGTAACTGTGGTTGTATGTTGGCACAGGTCGTAGCTCTGTGGAATTGGATTGGTAATTTATGTTACTGCTCTAAATTTTTTTTGTGCTCCAAAAAAACCCTCAAACCAAACCAAATCCGCTCTATACTTTCTTATATCCATAATTTATAGTAATGAAAAATGTGCACTTGAGGGGTATTTTCTGTCTTCTTTTCAGGTTGGTGACTTGAAATTTGAACTTGGAGGATCAAATGGGTTTGGGATAAGCTGCTGCCTTGTTGCAAGCGTACAATTGCGTTAGCTTTGATGGGAGAGTGCTGCTTTCTGGAAAGGCAGTTATAGCTCATTGAAAGTATAGTAACAAATTTATACTGTGAAATAAGAGCACAGCTATACTATCTTTCAATCAGTGATTAATCTCTTTTAGTAAAACATGTTGTTTTCCAGGATCTACCTCTGAATCTGGAAACAGAAACAGATCTGAAGTCTTTTATACATTAAATGGCTCATCAGTTGACTCTCAGCCTCAAACGAAAACAAAACCCCCATGGTATATTGATGAAGGTAAGAGATGATAGTCTTTCATATAGGCATACACTTTATTTAAGAAACAAAACAAAGCTAGAGTGTATTGATGTTATATAAATAAAATCAGTTTATATTTAAAACAGTTAGAATGTGTTGTCTTAGTGGAAGACACTTTTTTAATTGTAAAAAGCATCTTGGAACCCCTGTGAAAATATACTCTTAATTGACAGACCTGTGGTTTTATTCCGCATGTAGGAGATTACATTCTTGGCAACCTACGCGCAGCTCTGTGGGAATGCGTATGTCTTGCAGGCAAAACAAAAGTTGGGGCCTGGAAGGAAGATAGGAAGATAGTCCTTGTAGCCAAGTGTATAGAGTAATTTTATTTTGCCTGTTGTTTTGTAGCTAATGTTACAGATCTAAGGGAGCTGTAACGTTCTGCCAGCTAATCAGTCTGGAGGTGCAGGGGGAAAAAATAATCTGATTAAGCATACATGTTTTTTCAGTATTTTTTTAAAGTTATTTCTGTAAAATCTCTCTCTGAATTCTTACAAGCACATACCCAAAGGATCAATATTATCTTGATTTGCTTCCAGAACAATTTTTTTTTTTTTGGTCAACTTTTCTAAAGTGTGGCTGACTGGCTTAGTGACTGAAGGGGTAAATACTAAACTAATCACATTAACTAACAATAGAAACCTATAGCATTTGTAGCTCCAGAATTTCATGAACCAAAAAAGAAAATAGGTTAAAATTGTTCTCAGTTGCCTAACAGATGTTGTTCCAGCAGCTTGGAACTCAGTTTAAAACATGGTTTATTATAATATTTAAAATAAACAAGAATGAGTATCTTGTCTAGAAAGGACTATGGAAGTAAGGATTAATATTTTTATTTTTGGCCATTAACTTCAGTTAATAAAACAGCGTGGGGAGAAGAGGTGATGGAGAAGAGGCTTTTGCCTTGTGAGTGCCAATTGTGAATTAGAGACCATGTAGAGAGATGAGAGAAGACACAGAACACTTGTGCTATTACATCTAGTTGTGATCTCATTTATCAAGCACTGTATTAGTCATGACTTATTTAAATCCTTTATTCTTTATAGACACTGATAGATTCCTTGTGTGAGAACCAAAGTATATTGTGATAGAGCCAGGGCAATAACTGCTCTTCCATTTGCAAATCATGTCTGCAAGCAATTACTCGTCTCTGTATAAGCTGTGAACCAAATCCTTTCCTCTGTCACACTGACCAATGAGTTCTTCCTAGTTTTGCCCATTACAATCATAATCCTTGAGGCTGTTAACTCATGTTCAGAGAAAAATTCCAATCTGGGGGTAAAAAAAAATAAATAATTAAATCTAAACCTTCCTGTAGTTTCTGTCTAGCACCTCCTTCTCTGTGCTGTTCTTTCTGTTGGTTGTGGTAGGGCTACAGCAGTGTCTCCTCAGCCAGTTCTGTCTCTGCAGTGTTGCCAAGTGACAAACATCTTCCTACATATGCCCAGCTGTTGGTGCTTCCGATACAGGACACCCATTAAATCAGATGTGGTTGCAGATACACTTCATTGGTTTGATAGCTAAGTCTTTCCTTTTGTAAGATGGGGGAAAAAAAACCAGTATTTGCTAACACCTTGGTTTTGATTTTTAACAGTTGCTGAAGACCCTGCAAAATCACTTACTGATTCATCTCCTGGATTTGGGCATTCTTCACCACCACTGCAGCCACCTTTAACAAACTCTGTGTCTACAGAAAACAGATTTCACTCCCTCCCTTTTAGCTTGACAAAAGCTTCAAGTACTAATGGTACTATTGGACATAGTCCTCTCTCTTTATCTGTTCAGTCAGTCATTGGGGATGTAAATACTACGGCTAACCAGGAGAGTCCATCAACAGCAGGCCCACCTGGGAACTCACATGGTCTTGAAGCAGGTTCCTTGGCTGAAGTTAAAGAAAATCCTCCTTTCTATGGAGTAATCCGTTGGATTGGCCAGCCCCCTGGAGTCAACGAAGTATTAGCTGGACTGGAACTGGTAAATATAAATTATAGTTCATATTAATATTAATGACATGTTACTAGTTTCTGAGCGTTGGTGCCTGCATGCTTTGCAAAAGCGGTCAGACTGGAGGAATTTGTCCAAACAGGTTGACGTGTGGTCTTCTCTTACAACATAGCTAAATTCTTAGATGAGCTCTGACTTTTGTGGCTGCCCAAGACCTTATTCTGTTAATAGGTTCTGAGAGGTCTTTCTGTCACAATGGGTAATTGAATTTGTAGGACTGGTCACCTGCTTGCTTTAAAGGAGTGCCCTTTGCTTACGTTATGGAGACGTTAATTGAAAAAAGCCAACCTTATTTAAAGGTTCTTTTAAATGCAGATTTTCATAAAATGTCCCAGCTCTAAAAGTCTTTATTGAATATGAGTTTTGGGTTTTTTTTGTTTGTTTTTTGCATACCAGCAAACAGGCAGTGGTCAGACTTATGACTGTCAGAGTCATAACACTGGTTCTGCTAATCGATGGCAGTGATAGTGTTGGTTTGATAGCCACGTGCTCTGTGTTCCTGTGGGCCCTTTGAGAATTCACAGTTGCTGCAAACATGAATTGCTCTAATGTACTGACATGTACTCTGTGGCAACTGCTGCCAAGGTTGTGATCGGCTATCAATTAAATTAATGTGTATGCAATTAGGGAGATGAGGTTCTTTATTTTGGGATAATGTTCAGTAAAATATCTGAAATTTTATTGTATATTTATTATTCAGTTATTTTATTGAATATTTATTAATAAACATTTTGGCAGTTTATTGAACTGACAAAAAAAGCAATGTACAATTATGTCAGACAACAAAGTAGGTGAGAATGTAACTGGAATTTCAGCTGTTACAAAAAAATCCTGATGCTTGTGGGTTTTTGGGTGAAGCTGAAGCTATAGTTTGCTGCAGGAGTTCTGAGACTGCATCTTAGGATGCCTTGTTTTAAACTGGAGTCTTGGACTTACCTGTCATGCATTTCTGCATTAAAACCTAGCAATTGTTAGTAAGCAGACAGTATACCTTAAATCATGTTATCAAAGATTAATAACGATAACTTGTTATTTTTTCATACCTAGTTTGTTTATCTTTCCTTGATGGACATTTTGTATGTTCTGAAGCAGGTATTTTTGTTGCACAGGCCACAGTCACACTGGAAGTATTCACACTACCCAATGCTTAAGTGATTTTAATTGAGTTTTAAAAGGTGCTCAGTAGTGCACGTGCGCTCTTTATAACTACAGAAGGAATCTGGAGTGACTAGCTAGCTTAGTTAAGTTCCTCATGTTGACTAGGTTTAATTCTCGTTCTTCTCTCCTACCTCCCCCAAGCTGCTTCTGATGGAATTTTTGGTTTATTTTGGTTTAAGCATGAAGGAAAAAAGTGCGACTCTTAATTTCATCAGTAAATCCTGTTAAAGACCTCAGCTGAAGCTTTGTATACTAAAATGCGGGAACATTGTATATGAACCTTAAGAGTACGTGAAGGATGACTTATGGGTAGATGTTTTATCAAATACAGAATTCTAGAAATAAGAAAAATAGTGAATCTTTACTTGAATTTTCAGGAAGATGAATGTGCAGGTTGTACAGACGGAACGTTTAAAGGAACACGATACTTCACTTGTGCTCCAAAGAAAGCTCTTTTTGTTAAACTCAAAAGCTGCAGGCCAGATTCCAGGTTTGCCTCACTGCAGCCTGTTTCCAACCAGATCGAACGCTGCAACTCTCTAGGTACTGAGCTTCTGCTTTATTACTTATTTATCAGCTGGGAACTGACCTGGGATTTGGTTTCATTTATTCCTGCAATATGTTCTTTGTGTTGAACACTAAAAAAATCTGTACAGATATTACTTAAATGAGATTAACAGAAAATCAGTCTGTACAGAACATAACACTTCTATGGATTGCTTTTTTTATGCTTTAAAACAAGAAAATACTCATAAAGAGATTTTTTGTTATGCTGTACATCTTTTTACTTTAGAAGTTGTAATCTTGCTGAAAATGATATTTGCAACTCCAGCCATATGTGATTGCATTATCACAAATAAAGGCAGGTGTTTTTCTATAATGTCAAATTATTTTTTTCCTAAATATTAACATAGAAAAGCATGTATTTTTATGGTGGAAGTTAGAGGTGAAAAACTCATGGGTTTTTTTCTAACTTCAGATATTTTAGATTTCTTGGGTCATGTTGTATTGCCTGGGACAACAGCAAAGAAAAAAGTGATACTTTTAAGAGTGTGAACGGGGCATTTATGAGAGCGTCATTCCTACTGGATGAAAATTCAGTGCTGCAGGCTTTCTGAAGCACTGGGATGTGCACTGTCAGTGGAATGTAAGGCCTTGTTCACTCTCTGGAAGACAGTGAGTCTCAGCTATAATAAAATGCTGCTCTAGTCCAGAGAAGGAATGCTTACACTAAGACAGCTAAGGCTATAAAACATTAATAGGGAAATCTCAAGGGGGATAAAATTTGAGGCTTTAAAGTGTCTTTTGAAAAAAAAAATTTCAGCCTTTGGAGGTTACTTAAGTGAAGTGGTAGAAGAAAACACTCCTCCAAAAATGGAAAAAGAAGGTTTAGAGACAATGATTGGAAAGAAGAAAGGTATCCAGGGTCATTACAACTCCTGTTACTTAGACTCCACCTTATTCTGGTAAGTTCATCATTTGTATAGTGGCATTCCATGCTAGAAATGCAGAACACGTGATCTCTGTTGTAATGACTGTCTGTCTGTATTACTGTGCAGCTTACTAAGTTGTGCACTGTGATCTTTGACACATTACTATGCCCTTCCAATTTGAACAAATTCCGAAGCATTTGCTGCATAACAGAAGTGCTAATCATGTCCAAAATGTACTGACCCTTATGTATCTCTACTGTTTTTGACTGTGAATGGTCGATGGATGAAAGAGCACACAGGCCGGGGGGTGGAGGGGGGGGAAATAACTCTTATAACCTGCAGAATCCTGCCTTGGCAACTGGTTTTGTGCTCTGCTGCAGAAAGGACACGGGGTTAGAGTGGACTGTACTATTTGGTACATCTGTGTTGTCCTCTGTCCATAATTATCTCTTTTTGAGTTCGTTTAGTTCTTTAATTCTTCCTGTGGCTTTGCTTGGATTGTCTTATGTTGCTGTGACATCTGAATGATTGTATCTTTCAGAACCAAAACAACCTTCCTTTTCTCTTTCCCATTGTAGCCTGTTTTCTTTTAGCTCTGTTTTGGACACTGTGTTGCTCAGACCTAAAGAAAAGAATGATGTAGAGTATTATAGCGAGACTCAAGAACTGTTGCGGACAGAGATTGTAAATCCTCTGAGAATGTAAGTAAAGACATTAACTGGTCTTTGGTCTAATATTAATTTCATACGAGCTCCTGCTTTGTATGCATTCCTATTGCAAACCTGAAAAGTTTGACTAACTGCTGCTGCCAGCCTGTTAATTTTTTTAAAAATATTTTTACTTTTTCTTCACAGTAAATTTAATCAGCACTAACTGGAAATAGCTAATGATTGGTGATAAAATATTTTCACTAGTCTCTATTTGTAAATGAAATTGGCATAAAGCTATTGTAAAATTTGTATAGATATGAATACAAAAGCATTGATAAATACAAGTTAGGTTCACAGTATTCATATTTACATGTTTTTAATTCTGTTCCTGACAAGGAAAGTATTTGGGTTATCTTATGTGGAGTTTCACAATTTGATTGATTTAGTGGGGCTTTGAAAGTTTCATTAATTTTTGCATGTGGTCTGCAAGTGATCAAAACGGTTTTATTAAGAGAACTTAACATGAGCTTTGTAATTTCTTCAACATAATGAAGAAAGGAAATAAAGCAAAAATCTGCATGAAAAGTTATGTGTCTTTAGCTTATTTTTTTTTTTAAAACATGCAAATAATACAGCTGTAGTTCTGAAATTGTGGCTGTCACTGAACAATTTATCACAAATTTCTACTTTTGATTCCTGGAATAAAATGATGGCTTCTGAACCCTTGTTCTTGTAAGGGTGTGTGCAGTTTGCCTGATGTGTTCCAGCATTCTGTGGTATAGGTAGTAGGCTACACACCAAGTAGCAGAAATCTCAAATGGCTCAGAAGGCTGAAAATTTTACTTCTACCTTTCCACCTTGCTTAAAACTTTCTTTGCACTTTTTGTAAAGTTTTAGAGGAAAAGACTGAATGCTCAAAAGTTCAGCTTCTTAGGTCAGCAATACAGTTCTGTGTCTTTTTCACAAATACTGAAATACTTTTTTTATTAACAACTCCCACAGTGCTGTTATTATGTGACATTCTGAAAATGATGTATTGTGGTGCAAATTAGAGTGAAAACAAATCAAACGTAATTGACTGACAAATCAGAAAACAGTTATCCTGGTAAGTTAATGTTTAAAAAGAGCTCTTAAAGATTATGCAAGAACATTGAGCACTACACTAAATTTATCCTGCATTAAAAAAATGCAAGTCAGATTGAATACAAAGAGTCAATACATAGTTTTGAAGAAATACTGTGCATAGTTAAAGAAGGAGATGAGAGCCCATATTTCAGCATTTCAGAGGTTTTTTTCTGCTTGTCCGACTTGATCACAAACTAGCTAATAGCTTATTAAACCCATTTATCTTAGATACGGATATGTGTGTGCTACAAAAATAATGAAACTGAGGAAAATACTTGAAAAAGTTGAGGCTGCATCAGGATTCACTTCAGAGGAAAAAGGTAACTGGGGAGGTTTTCCTTTCTTTGAGATTTGTAAGAATCGTACCATGAAGGAACTGAAATACCTTGCTATATAACTAGACCAAAACAAAACACACAAATACTTCTCTGTAGCAGTAATAACTCTACCAGAGATCTGAGTGACCGTTGGGTGGTAAAAAGGTCTTTTCTCCTTCCTAGCTGAACAGTTGCTGCTGTCAGTCTTTTCACTGACTTGATTTCTTTTCTTGCCTTCCTGTGCCCATGTAGCTCCCTTCTAGCAGTCAGGGGAGATCTAAGGTTCTCCCTCAAAAATGAAGACTTAAGATAAGGCTGGGGTCTTTGTCCTCTCTCAGAATGTCACTTTGGTCCCTGAGGAATAATCTTTCCACTATAACATCTCATTTTCACAATGGTTATGTAGCATTTTAAGAAATAAAATGTGTAAATAATGTTAGAAAAAACAATTCCCAACCTTTTGAGCTTCTGCTGCATATAATGATTAATTAGCATTGTATTATGTAGCTGTTTTGTTTTTATTTGGGAGAACACAGAACACTACTGTCTTTGTAAATACTAAATGCTGAAAAACAGTATTTATTGCAGTTAGTGTCAGGAAGAGAAATATACCAGAAAACTCTGTGTTGGGGGAGAATAGACCTCTGGGAAGCTAGTGTTGGCTGCATTCTTGATTAGAGAACTCGGTCTCCAGATGGACTTTGTACTATTGTGTGGTTTTTATGTCAGTGTTACTGTCACTACTCCCTGCTTCTCTGCAGTTTCGCTGTTTTCTTTTGAAAGCTTTTATTTCTCCTGGAAAAGTTGTGTGGCGCCAAATGATTCCTCTGAAATACAGAAAATCTTTTTGATCTTTACTGGAAAGCTTTGTTATGCTGTTGAGCCTGTGTCTTTTATTAGGGCTGTTTGACACCAGAAGAATCAGTAGAGGTTGTGTTAGTTCGTAATAATCTTGTTGTGTTAATAAAGCTGTAAAAATGAACCTTTACTTTTTTTCCTATTAAAATTTTGAAAACTTTCATTAAAACTCAGTCTTGAATGATGTATCTAGTTTTGCATACTAACAAAACTTTTTTTTTCCCTCCCCGCTCCCAGATCCAGAAGAATTTTTGAATATTTTATTTCACCATATTCTAAGAGTTGAGCCACTGTTGAAAATAAGGTGAATCTTTTTTTCTTTGTAGAGGGTGATGATGTGATGCATTTCAAATTGAGATAGCTCTCAGAGCACCTTTGACTTGTGATGCATATTTCTAATATGATTCAATATAATGAAGTTATATTGACAAATTTGACACTATTTCCTTCCCTTTTTGGTAGGTGAGTTTTAGCCCACTGGTCTATTGTTGCAAAAGCCATTCCACCATTCAGCTTTTAGCACTGAAGTTGGCGTGTTTTGTGCATGTACCTTAACTCTTTAAGAGTAATTCAGAAGTCTCTTTTCTTCTTAGAAAGAAGGCTTAAAATTAATAATAGTTACTTTGATCATCATACTCTTAAAGTCCTTTCAACACTCAAGTACTCTAAAAAGCAACATTGTCTTAAATGCTGGCTCTGGGAGGACGTTACCATTTATAGCAAATTTGATGTAAGTTCCTGGAATTTCATCCCAGGAACATTGATACAGGGATGAAACAGCTCCTACCTAACTTCTTTATTTGGAGGCCCGTTACTCCTATGTGCATTTTCTCCATGATAGCAAAATCCATTTCTTCAGTATGAGCACAGTCTTCTATATCCTTTCTTAGATCTTTCCAGAGTAGGTTGAATTACTTATCTGAAGCTCTTCTTCCTGAATATCTCAGGTTTATGTAACAGAAATGCTACCTGAAAACATCAGTACCTAATTTTGACTTTGTTTTGAAACATCTGACCTCGAAACTTACTCAGATTGATAGCTTAATCCCTTGTCTCCCTATTCATATAAAATTGTATTGTGGTTTTGTTGGGGGAGACGGGTGGGGGCATGGGATGAGTTTGTGGTGTGTGTTTAGTGGAGGGTTTTTGTAACTGTCCCCCCCCAATGGCTAGCATTGGCATTGATCTAGTAGCTTGCCTTCTTAAGAAGCCTTCCACACCCCGGCAAACATTAACAATTAAGAGCCGGACAGCCCTTAAATCTGGATTATCCTTTTGGAGAGTTCTCTGTTGACAGCACAGCAAGTCTAGCAACACCAGCCATCTGTGTGAGACTCCCACTGTAGGAAGCACTGTAAATATCTCCCTGATAAAAAATAAACTCATTAATTTTTTTTTTTAACTCCTTATTGAGAATATCATACTGAAGAGAATTATTGTTGTTCCTTTTAATGTTTGTTAGTGAATCTCTCATTTGTCTTTCCAATGAAAGCTGCTTTAGTGTGTTGGGAGTTTTTAATGCATGTGCTTAGAAAGCATTTCTCAGCTGGTAGTTCAGTAATATACAGGCATGTTTTTAAAACATACTTTGAAACTTAGACTGCTTTTGTTTCTTAAATAAATTTTTCTAAAATCAGTTCACTCTTAATACTTGATTGCCTGTCATCTAAGGCACTTTGTTGTTGCCTTTTTTTTTTTTTTTTTTTTTTTAAAGAGCAATAAATTTCAGTGCAGAAGATTTTGTATAGACAATTTTCTGGTAGATGTTACTTTTCCTAGTAAAATACAGTCATTGTTACGGTATAGCTTCAGAATCTGTTCTTTTAAATCTGTTTTTAGATCAGCAGGTCAGAAGGTACAAGACTGTTACTTCTATCAAATTTTTATGGACAAAAATGAGAAAGTTGGAGTCCCAACAATTCAGCAGTTACTGGAATGGTCATTCATCAACAGCAACTTGAAGTTTGCAGAGGTTGGTGACAGCTGTGGCTTTGTTAGAAGCAGTTGATACCTAGGTGATTACCCCTTCAGCAGTGGGACAACAGTAGGATTTGGTGTGAAAACAAAATGTGGACATGTTGGAAATGGGAGCACTAGGTCAGTGGTACAGGTTGCCTACATTACAAAAATACTTTAAGGTTGACTTAATGACATGTATCCTTTGGCTGAACAGACCAAAGTAATTTAGGTAAAGTATTACTAAAAGAAAACGTAATTACTGCCAGTAAGTTGCCATAAGGACTAATATTCTGAGATAGATACCTTCTGTTTGTAAAAAGGGAAGATTTTTTTCAACCCCTTCCCCCCCCCCCCCCCCGCCCCCAGGATGGGAGAGTGTTGTCGATATTGTTAAATATCATACTTGAGCATTACTGGAACTCGTGACATTTGACAACAATTTAGATGCCACTTTCCTGGGGTTTTTTTTTAGCTGTAGTTACTCTCAGAAACTTAATTTTGTTTTGCTTACCGTCTTGTTAATTTTGAAGTCAGTGGGTTGCAAGTTCAAATAACATGAATATGTTTATAGCATTAGAAGTGTGTCTCTCTATTTAGATAATTATCTGTCTCACGCTCATTACATTATATTCTGGCATTTTACCTAGGCACCCTCTTGCCTGATTATCCAGATGCCTCGGTTTGGAAAAGACTTCAAAATGTTCAACAAAATTTTTCCATCCTTGGAATTAAATATAACAGACTTACTTGAAGATAGTAAGTATGTATCATTGCATTGTGTAATGAAAGGGAGTTGATGAGAGTGACTAATACAGTGAAAGTAAGTACTCCTGGTAGGTTGGGTTTTTTATTTTTATATATTAAATATTTAAGAAGGTAGTGTGAGATGCTCACACTGAGGAGAAAGGCAAGTTTACTGGCTAGAATGCTTAAAAGTCAGTTAAAAACTGTAATTCAGAAGAATGTATAGAATGTAACTTGCTTGATTGCATGTATTTAATTCTTTAGTATCTGTGCTAAACTTCTTATTTCAAGGCAGTGCTGTTAAAATTGAGTTACTAGCAGCAAAACAGTTTGTAAAAATGGCAGGTAGGAAATCTTAAAAGCTAAGTATAGCACCGAGATTGGTTAACAGGTATTTACAGTGTTGATTAAGTTTCATTACTCTTCATCAGGTTTGTGCTTGTTTCTAAGTCTTCTGTCATTAGTTTATCAAACTAGAAGAAGAGAACCTGTGATTAGTACGTAAGCCTGAAGCATGTAGTGCTAGTACATTTTTCAACTATAAATCTATCACCTTTTTTTTTGTGACCTAAAGTTCTGACATTTGTCATCCACTGAATTTTTCATTGCATTACCTCTAAGGAAAGACACTCTGTTTTAAATTTGAGATAAGAATTAATAAAACTGATAAAATTTATTAGAATAATAATCTCTGGAACTGCCATGGCCTTTTCTTTCACTGCCATGGCCATCAGCTTATGCAATTTTTTTTTTCCCTGGTGTTGACAGACATAGGGGCTAAGCTAGCTGTACCAATATGATGAGAGAGAACTAACTTGATTTAAAAGCCTGTTTTAACTTGTTTGTGCAGTTGATAGAACTTAATTTTTATCATCTTGTAAATTGTTTTACAATTTACCACTCTAAATGTTTTTCTCTTATTCCACATTATGTCAAAGGGAAGAAGTTAAATATAATGGTACATTTGTGTTTTGATTGGAAATCTAGTTTTTGGGTTTTTTTTTTAATGTAGTGTTTTTCTACATTTAAAGTAGTAATCCTCCCTCGTTTCCATATCCCTCATCTTAAAAACCAAAAAAAGCCTCCCCAAATTGGAGACTAATAACCTGCTTTGAAAATGCAGCTCCCAGGCAGTGCCGTATATGTGGAGGGCTGGCTATGTACGAGTGCAGAGAATGTTATGAAGATACTGATATTTCTGCTGGGAAAATCAAGCAGTTCTGCAAAACCTGCAATACGCAAGTAAGTTGTTGTCTTTGTTATTCTACATGGGTTTAACCCAAATGGTTATATGCTGTAATAATCAAAAGAAGGGCAGAAGAGCATAGTGAGACTTTGTCACCAGCACGAGTGTAACTGTGCCCAACAAGTGTAGCCTTTGGTGGCAGATCAGGAACTCCGCTTGACCTCGCAATGCATTAATCAACAGTTTCTTAGTATAAACATAGCATCTGCCAAGTCCAGGACTGAATGAATACCGTGGAGAACAATTAATTGTATGCAACTTGGAATCTGTTTCCTGTTGGCTGCTTTAAATCGTAATTTTTACATACATGCTACCTTGTTTGAATTGATAAGTTCATGACATAGAACCACTTAATTTTGAGAGCTGTTTGGTAACTTGCATGAAGTTATCATAGTCATGGCTTGTTTTCAAGTCTGAGCATAGTAGAAAATTGTGTTAAATCTGACCTCCCTTCTAACCTTAGATTTGAATTTTTGGGGCAATGTTGAACTACACTGGTGGGCAAAAATAGAAGAAATGTTTAGTCTGCTACTGTTATTGTAGTTTCTTCTCCAATGCCATTAATCTCCAGTTCAGCAGTAATGGTCATTTTAGCTTTGTCTGCCACTGAAACAATCTTACAGGGTGTTTTTTTTCTCTTCTGAAATATCACTTCAATTGTAGGTTCATCTTCATCCCAAGAGACAGAGTCATAAATTCAATCCATTGTCACTGCCTAAAGATCTGCCAGACTGGGACTGGCGACACGGCTGCATCCCATACCAGAAGATGGAGTTGTTTGCTGTTCTCTGCATAGAAACAAGCCACTATGTAGCTTTTGTTAAATATGGGAGGGATGACTCCGCCTGGCTTTTCTTTGACAGCATGGCAGATCGGGATGGTAGATCTTTTATTTATTTATTTATTAATTTTCTCTTATTTTTTTACATATATTACTATTTAAAATTTCAGTGCCTATTTCTTAACATTTTGGGGATATTAATGTCATTTAACTTGATGTACTCGATGCTGGGACACTAGTCTTGACCCAGCCTTACCTCAGTGCATTGATTTCATAGCAGCTGCTTATCTGTATAATCTGAATTTCACCTACATTGGATACCTTAGTAAGTAGATGGTACAGAAGTAACTGCAGAAATTTGCTAGTGGGACTCCTTATACATTTTCTATACTTTCTATACAAGTTTGGCAGAGAGAATTAATTTTAAGTAATCAACTGCAGGAATGTGTTCTTTCAGTCTATATTTAAGTGGATGTACACAGTTATCAGATAGTATGCAAATATTTTTATTGCTTTTCCTTAAATGACTTAGGTGTCTTTAGAATAAAAGAAATAGTCACGTATTACAAACATCGATGCCATTCCTTTGAATTGCTGTACAGTTACCAGTGGAAAACTGTTACCCTGTAATAATACAAATGTCAGTACAAGTGTTCTCTCAGCTACTGCTGCATTAAATAGTGCTTAAATAAGGAGACTCTGTTCAGTTTGGATGCTTGAGAACACCAGTAATAGATGCAAGTGTCAGCCTCATAGTAACACTTCTTTGCATGAAGAATTCCCGAACCCCTCTGTTACAGTGTGCTTTGTCAGGGGGGAAGAATGTTGCCTCCTGTTGAAAATGAAACTGCTACAGGATTAAAGTCTCTTTCTTATAACAACCAGAAGGCAAAGAAGCTGATTTGTTTTAGAGTGCTTGAAACGTGTACAACTGGAGTCGGTAAAGAACCAGTTTATTTCAGGAATGTGGATCACATGACATAGTCATGGATATATCTCCTGCTGATTTTAGGGGCTTTTGTATCACAAATATTTTTATTCAGCTAGTGCTATAAGCTAAAAATGTCTGCTGGGGAGCAGTGTCATGGATATCCATACTTGTGTTGTTTGAATTTGCTCATTTTTATATGGCAAATGGCCAAGAGCAAACTCTGCCTTAGTCAGACAATCATGGTTTATAAATTCATCAACTGTTACCAGTTGTGATGCTATTAACAAATTTGGTGGCCTTTGAGGTAGAGTATGTATTCAGGTTACTCTCCAAAGCCAGACAGAATTTTTAGTGTTAATGAAAACCGAAAGTTCTCATTCTGGTGTGGTCTTTGTGTGGGTGCTTGTTCATTAGTAAACACAAGATACTCTGACACCAATTGCAGATTTTCTTGAACGATACCCTTTCCATACACATTTACCCTACAGTAGTCCAGAATGGCATATTTAGGGTTTTTTTAGAAGGCATTTTCAAGAATTGGTGATGCTGTCATAATTAAAGTACATTATAAAGAGAAAATACAAGTAGATGTCATCTTAATCTGTTTCTCTTTCTTTCCTTATGGTTAAAAGGAGGTCAGAATGGCTTTAACATTCCACAAGTTACCCCCTGTCCAGAAGTTGGTGAATACCTGAAGATGTCTCTAGATGAATTACACTCACTGGATTCCAGAAAAATTCAAGGTTGTGCACGAAGACTACTTTGTGATGCTTACATGTGCATGTATCAAAGTCCAACAATGAGTTTGTACAAATGAACAATGTCCTCTGGAAAACTGAAGACACAGTATAGAGTTACCAACTGTTGCATTTGCTGCATTTTTTTTGGTTGGTTTTAATGCAACCGTTGCTGGCAATGGATGCGATGACAAGGAAGTTGACTATGAGAGCAAAAGGATTACTGTTCCAAAAACTACATGTGGAGTTCTGTCATTGAAGTATTTAAGCATTTTGCACTCTAGGAAGTGTGCTTGTGTGTATTTGTTTTATAAACAAAGTCTAAGTGAAGTTACTAAAACTTAAAGCTTTAAGTGCATTGATTATACACAGGCTTTTTTTGAAATGTTAAAGGTGGAATTATATCAGGAGAAACCTCCTATTGAGAATGTAAAGAGAGACAGTGTTCTTCCTCAGTGCATTTCTGTGGACCAGGGATGATGATTCGCTTCTGTTTCTCTACCCTCCACACCCACCACTTCTCCCCACCCTTCATCTTTTTAGCACCATAGATTCTCTCTCTTGAAGAAAGAGTAACTTCAGTTTTAGTAAGATAAATGTGAGACCATTCACTGCATATTAATTCTGTTCTGTTATCTGTCTGCTGCATTCTCTCCAGTTCACACATTTGCATCTTCAAAAATTAACATTCATTTAAAGATCTGAATTCCTGTCTTGGGAAAGGAGAAGAGGGTATTAAGGGGAAGCATAATTGCTGACATGTAAAATGAGCAATGAAAGTTAAGAGTGTTTATTTTTAAAGAAACAAAGCAGTCTGCAACAGAACAGCAACTATATACGAGTGATTCAAGGACAAAACAATACAGTGGATTGCCTCAGGGAATGTTACTGAAGTGGATTCTAGTCCTTGGTAAAACAAAACTGACTTTTCTACAGTACATTAAGCTACTACCTGGGATTATGTTATACATCTGACTCTTCATTTCAGGATTACTAATGAATATCAAAAATCTCTGCCTGGAAAGAAAAAAACTATATATAAAAGTAGATCAGAGTTTTACTGTGTACCAAGTACCTAATGAAACCTAACTTGAAAAGCTGCACAACCTGTGTTGATGTAAAATATACTTTGAAGTCCATTGGTTACTGTTTGCAATGAAATGCTGTTGTTTTAGTTGCTTTTTAGGTACTCCTGTCTCCACTGACTAGCAAACATGCAAATATATGTATATCTATATATATATATATACACACACACACAGAATAAAAACTGGTTGTACAAATCACAGCTATAGGAGCTGTACATTTTCAACTCTTAAGATGTTTTATATGGAAAACTTCCTTTTTGGGATCAAGTCTGTAGAAGGTGAGGTCACAAAATGTAAGAGAGAAAAAGCCACTTGAAAAAGCCACTGTTATAAAGATAATGGAGACTGATCCCATATTGTAGAAAATGTGGCTACTTAGTTCTTCTTGGAAAAAAAAAAAAACAACCCTAAAATCTTTGTTTGGGACGCACTCTTCCACAGACCAGTACTAGAGAGAGATTTGAAAATTATGCTTGAAGGACTAATCTGTCTAAAGCAAAAGGTGCTGAGACAGTTGCTCTGTTCCATTATCTGCTGCATGAAGTGTGCTCTTATTTTTTTACTCTCAAGAGCAAGGAAGTTATTAAAAGTGTCAGTGTTGCTTTTGCCTCTAATAGTCTCCTGGCTTCCACTTTCCCTTGCCTTATTTATCTAGTTTGTGCTCCTTGGCAAAACTCGTGGTTAATTTTGTTTCAGTACTATGAGCTCTTGGAAAAGAAGTCTTTAGTTTCAGTACTGCCTCAAAACTCTTGAACTCTTTCTCTCCTGAAAAATTTCAGTGAGGCTTCTAGAACCATCTGGCAGTGGACAAGTTACTGTCCATTGGCTCTTCCTTGGCTCCATACCATCCTGCTTTGGGACAGCAGCTGCTGAGGTGTGTTGACAAAGTTGCCATAGAAGCATCTCATAGGCAGTACAAGGTAAAAAGACTAGCTACAGCTCTTGGCTAGGCAGCTTCTATTTATTAAATAGACTCAAGAACACCTAGATAATCTCAGCAGAAGGTATGATAACCCACCCTTGGCTGCAGAGTAACGAGGAAGTCCAGCCGCAGCCTCCAGGTAAATTAAGTGACGTTTTCAAGTAGTGCTGTTTGCAAAGCAAAGGCAAGAAGGGCCTTGCAAAAGGCAACACAACGGACTCTTAACTTGCGCTCTGCAAAGTTTGCTGCCTTGTTTGATACCTTCATTCCCCTTAGCCCCATCCTGACTCTCAACTTCAAACTACCTGCTCGCAGTGCCCCCGTCTGAACAAGGAGCAAACACGAAGACTACAGAATAAACAAGCACAAACAGATGTACCAATGAGACCAATCTGAATGTCTGGATTCTTTCTCTAGCCCTAGGTTTATTTTGAGTTTTCCCAGTGCATTAACTTTCACGTCTTTCACACGCGTCATCTTTCTCCCCACCTGCAGCCCTTCACCCCGTTACATACTGCCTGTAGTTCCTTACCTCTTCCTGCCTGAACTTGAACAACATCCATGCTATGGCCAGAGGGGAGACTTGGACTTGGTACCCATCTTAAAGTCTTCTAGATGACTAATCCTGTAGCAGAATATCCACTCTTTCACAACTGCAGATAGCCAACAATATCTCATTTGTTTTTTCAGGATGCATAGGTAGAAATGAATAAAAATAGATGGGTGTAACTTGAATTTGTAAATGAACTGCTTGGCTTCTTGCTGCCAATCTTTTGGCCTTTGACTAAAAATTGCAAAGCAGTGTGAACGCTTACTGTGGTATATGTAGAGAGCACACAGAAAAAACTGAGGGAGTTTAAATGCATTATTACACACGCTTCCTGGCAACAAATGCTGTGTTTCGAAGTGCAGGCAGTGCTTTACAGCCTGCATTTTGTAGTACTTTATATTATTGCAAAACAGTAAATAGTTTTGCATACAGTATATGGTTATGTGGTTAGTTTATTGCTTATCAGTTAAGAGGGCAGAGATGTCTTCTATAGCATAAAAAAAAAAAAAAGTGCTGGTTTGAGTTGTCTTAATAAAAAAAAAAGTATTGCTTTATGGTCCACTGTATTGAACTGGAGATAATCTGGCAATGTAAATGAAATGTTATGGAAACTAACCCCAATTTTTATTTCCTTTCTCAGAAAGGAGCATGCAAACAGAAAAATGGTTTCACTGTGAAAAGAAAATTGGGATAGATATGCCTTCAGCATATATTGTAGGGGAAATTGAGAGAAGTATTTTGAAGAAACAGCGTGCAGTTTAAAGCATCTGCTACTGTTAAATGTAATGCCCAAAGATTCCAGTGACTAAGCACCCAACTTTTATGTGTTTAATGCATTTGGGAACCTCCCAATCAGTTCTCACTGTTTTGGTTTGTTTTGTTTGTTTGTTTGTTTTAATATGGTGAATGTGCCCATTAATTAATAGCACTTCGATGATTGCTTTCATGGTTCAGCTCTTAAGTATTGTTATCAATGGCCTTAACCCATGAGTAGGAAAACATAGAAAATAAGGTTCCTGACAGCCTGTAAAAATGTAAAGTTTCATACTGCATAAACTTTCATAACTGGGGAGAAGAACTGAACCCCTATACAACTCTGCTAACCATTTTTAGAAGTAGGAGCTCAAATCAGTAGCAAATTGAATAAATCACTGTGCTACTAAATGTTTGCTCACTTTGAACGTAGGGAGTGAAGAGTAAAGGTGATGCCTTAATCACGACTAAAACTAAAAACCCCGAACTCACAGTAAGCTACAGCAGAATCATTGTTTGTGGTGTGGGACATAATTGGCAGGAAAAAAAAAAAATACAAAAATATGTGTGTTTAGTAAAAGTCTTTCTCATGCCTGGGATACTAATTCTGTGCTCTTGAAAAATGTAGTACTGTGTTTTTGCTGACCAGCCTGTGAGCTTTCCATTTTAAACAAGTACTATGATGTGTAACACGAATTACTCATAATCATAAATGGTTCATTTCAATGCACTTATTTTTCTTGTGCACTTTATACTCCACTGAAGAGATGAACTTGGTCGCCACAATCCCTGCTGATAGCCTGTTCAGTACAACACAAAGGCACAACATGCTGCAAACTGGAATTTTACGGTGTCAGAACTGAGTTGGTGTAAAAAGCAGCTTGAAAGCTTTGTGTATTTTTACCACTGTAACAAAGCATGTTTTCCTCTGTTCTTGACGTTTTGCTAAATAAACATCCCATGTTTTGTGCACAAACAGTCTCTTAAACTTACAAAGGCTGTCTCCAAGAATGAGTTAGGGAAACAAACCAATGTATCAGGTTGCCCTCAACTAGCCTTAACCTCCCCCCTCAGCCCCAGTGGTAGAGCAGAATTAGCTGCTGCTGGAAAGGAATGTACCATGTGCTCTTTCTGTATTAATATTAATTAAAAATATTATTCTTACGGCTCTGTTTAATTCTTTGGAGGCTTGGAGTTTTGGGAGTGTCACAAACAATAATGAATACAGTGCTGAACTAGATTGTTTTGTGTAAATATAGAGGCATTTTTTTTTTATATACATATTTTTGATAGTCTCTCAATGGCAACATTTCTAGGAAACTTATGAATTGCTGTGCTGTATGAAATCAGGTCTAAGTCTACTGCTTGTGTCTTACCTGTTAGTACCTGATACTGTAATGGAGAACCAACGGGAAGCTGTTGCCTCTGGGGGAAAATAAATTTATTTTTCCAAGTTTAGTACACTGCCTTACTGACTAGATGATCAGCTCCTCCTGGGCTCATGCTGCAGCTTCAGTGCTGCTTCCATAGGTACCATTTAGAAGACCTGCACACCAAGTTTGCATGCATTTGCTATTGAGAAAAATACTGCCAACCACTAGTTCTGTGTTTAATTTCCCCAATATTGTACTACTACTAGTAGTAATAATGAAGACCAGTCCTTCTTGGGACTGTAAAAGGAATGATGTCAATTTAAGTATTTTTAAAAATCTTTATCTTATTGCAAATACTTGTACAATTACTTGCAAAAGCTGTATTTAAGAAATG